CTGGAAGGAGGTAAAGGTCACTGCACTTTCACAAGCTTTTTAGTACATATGGGAAAGTTCACTATCACAAGCACAGGGCTCCAGGAAATCTCACAAACTGAACAGTGTGCAACCAGCACCCCAGAAAGCCTGCCATGTGGGAAAGGTGAAACCCCCAGATGCCCAGAGCCTCGCAGGGAGTCCACCCCCCTAATCCCACAGCCGCTGGCATGATCAGTCAGTGTCTATTCCCATTTCACAGATTTGGAAATTTAAACTCCTTACCTATATCCCCCCTCCTCCGTACACCTGAGCCCCAGAGCCAGGTCACTCAGGGCCCCACCTGGACTGAAATTCCGGAGGCGGGGCTTGTCAGCACTGGGCAGCATTTGGGGACACGCCCACAGTCACCTGCGGCCAGCGAAGGGAAGCGACAGAGCCAAGAAGACGAGCTATTGTCCACAAGCACCTTTCAGCATTCCTGCTCTGCCTGGAATCCAGAGCTTCTCCAAAGTCAGGAATCAGAATCCCAGGGAGACCGTGATGGAAGCAGATGCCCTGCTGCCAGGGCAAGGTATTGACAGATGTCAGGATACACACCATGGATATGCTACTTAGCTTGTTGTGGTCATCATTTCACAAGGTATGCGTATGTCAAAATATCACGTTGTACACTTAAACATTTACTACTTTTATTTGCCAATTATGCCTCAGTAAAGCTAGAAAAAAATAAGTAAAATAAAGAATAGGACTATCAAAAAACAAATGCATGAGGCTGACCACTTAAGTTGAGTATTCAGGCAGGCGCAGTGGCTCATGCCTATAATCCCAGCACTTTGGGAGGCCAAGGCAGGTATCACGATGTCAGGAATTCAAGACCAGTCTGGCCAACATGGTGATACCACATTTCTGCTTAAAAAAATACAAAAATTAGCTGGGCACGGTGGTGGGCACCTGTAATCCCAGCTACTCCGGAAGCTGAGGCAGGTGAATCGCTTGAACCCGGAGGCGGAGTTTGCAGTGAGCCGAAATCGCACCACTGCACTCTAGCCCCGGGCACAGAGTGAGACTCCATCTCAAAAAAAAAGATGAGTGTTCAGTAAAAAAAATTAAAGTAGGCCAGGCGCAGTGGCTCATGCCTGTAATCCCAGCATTTTGAGAGGCTGAGGCGGGCGGATGACTTGAGGTCAGGAGTCTGAGACCAGCCTGGCCAACACGGTGAAACCCCATCTCTACTAAAAATACAAAAATTAGTCGGAAATCCCTTGAACCCGGGAGGCGGAGGTTGTAGTGAGCCGAGATTGTGCCACTTCACTCCAGCCTGGGCAACAGAGTGAGATTCTGTCCCCCCAAAAAAAAAAAAAAAAAAATTAAAATAATGACAAGAAATAATCACCCTGCTTGGGGAGAGAAACAGAGTCTTTATGAGAACATGCAGTTGATCTGAGGGTATTTTGCTGAGTGAAACAAGCCAGTCACAAAAAGACAAATCCTGCATGATTCCACCTCCAAGAGGTATCTAGAGTAGCCCAACGCACAGAGACAGAAAGTGGAACAGAGCTTACCAGGGGCTGGGAACTGGGGAGGGGGGTTATCATTTAATAGGTATAGCATTTCAGGTTCGGAAGATGAAAAAGCTCTGGATATCTGTTGCACAACGATGTGAATATACTTGATAATGGTAAAGATGATCAATTTTATGTTGCGTTCTTTACCACAATTAGAAGTTTAAAAACTTAATAGGAAAGAAGGAAAGGAGGGAAAAAGAGAAAGAGAAGGGCAGTTTGCTAGATGACAAGCTATAAAGAGCACGGGGAAGGGAGAAGGGGAATGGGGCTGGGTACTGGGTAGGGTGGGATGAGGTAGGGCCGAGGGTGGGGTGGGCAGAGGCCTCAGCCACCAATGCAGCTTCGTGTGAGATCAGACTGTGTGGTGTGAAGTCCCCTATGACTTAGAGCCCCAGATGTCCCCGCCCACCCAAGCTGGGCATGGGGGTACAAGTGGGTCCCAACAGATGCCCATTCAGGTCCTAAAGAAGGCAGAATAGCAACCCCAGCTCTGCCCAGTTCACACTGAAGTGGCTCACCCCACCCCTCAGACAGCAGAGGGAACAAGGATCACCCTTCATTCGGCCCCACAGAGCAAGCGCCCACCTGTGCCAGGCTCCAGGCCAAAGGCTGAGCAGACCCCATGCCCAGCCGTGTTGAGTGTTCATCCCGGTCCAGATGCACACCTCGTACCTGCACACTGAAACTTCGGATCAACCTCACTCCTAGGGCCGTAGTTACCTAACATTTTCTGAGCGCCTACTACGGGCGGGCACTATATGGATTGACTTGTGTAAGTCTACATCCTGAGAGGTGGGGGCTAACAATGAAACTCCATTTTACAGACAAGAAAACTGTATACAGCAAGGTTAAGCAAAACCAGCCCCCACACTGTCAAACTGTGCGGCCCCCCGCCCCACAGGTACACCCTCCCAGGCATTCAGAATGCCGTAAGACAGCAGTTCCCAACCTTTGTGGCACTAGGGATTCGTTTTTGTTTGTTCCTCTGTGCAAGATGGAGTTTCACTCTTGGCACCCAGGCTGGGGTGCAATGGTGTGATCTAGGCTCACTGCAACCTCCGCCTCCCAGGTTCAAGCAATTCTCCTGCCTCAGACTCCTGAGTAGCTGGGATTACAGGCACCTGCCACCAAGCCTGGCTAATTTTTGTATTTTTAGTAGAGACGGGGTTTTGCCATGTTGGCCAGGCTGGTCTCGAACTCCTGACCTCAGGTGATCCACCCATCTCGGCCTCCCGAAGTGCTGGGATTACAGGCATGAGCCACCGTGCCTGGCCCAGGATGGTGAGGGGGATGGTTTCTAGGTGATTCAAGTGCATTACACTTACTGTGCACTTTATTTCTACTATTACACTGTAATCTATCATGAAATAATTATACAACTCACCATAATGTAGAATCAGTGGGAGCCCAGAGCTTGTTTTCTTGCAACTGAAGAAAACATCTGGGAGTGATGGGAGACAGTTGACAGATCATCAGGCATTAGAGTTTCATAAGGAGCATACATCTCATATCCCTCCAATGCAGTTCACAACAGGGTTCGAGCTCCTATGAGAATCTAATGCCGCCACTGATCTGATAGGAGGCGGAGCTCAGGCAGTAATGCTAGCAATGGGGTATGCGGGGAGCAGCTGTGATACTGATGAAGCTGCTCACCTCCTGCTGTGCAGCCCAGTTCCTAACAGACCACAGACAGTTGGTGCAGAGGCAACCCTTGGCTGGATGACACTCCCAATGGCCGAATGTCCCGGTGAGCCTGAAGTAGGACTGGCTCCCGCACAACCATCCCCAAAGGCCTCAGCAGCCCTGCTCACAGGCAGATCACAGCACCCCCTTCTGGCAGCCTCGACAGGTACCCCTAGGCTTCTGGCATGGGCGCGGCCCTTGTCTCAGGTCTCCACTGAACCTTAGTCCTATGCTGGGCCCGTAACTGGAAGTTCGACCAAGATGTGCCAGTTGGGTGGGTGTGCAGAACAATGAATCCCATCCCTGGTGACAGGTCCTCTGCACCAGACATGGGGCCACATGCCTTTGGGGGACACGAAGGAGCTCTGGAACAGGGGACACCGTGAGCCCCAGCCCTGGGATGTAGGAGAAGAGTAGGGAGGCCGTGCGGGCCTGCTGTGAGGAAGCAGAGACCCACACGGCCTGGGGAGTGCCTCTCGCGTGGGCGTGCACACACGCTCCCACAGGAACGCCACACACAACATGCACGTGTGCACAGGCCAAGACCACCCACCCCCACAGGACCACACCCTCAGGCACACACTTGCATCCTTCCATGTTCCGAAAAGGAAGTGGGGTCTGATCGGGGCAGCACTGGGCCCGGCTCCGAATCACAGACGGGACCCCAGCCTCCCAGAAACAACCCTGTTCAGCTCTGGAGAGAGGTCCCTGTCTGGGAAGACGCCAGCGCAGGGAGAACTGAGGGCAAGAGAGCAGCCTTTGTGAGAAGGGTCAGACCTGCCCCTTCCGGCCACCGGCCCCTCTGCCCCTTCACTTCCAAAACCCTGAGGGCACAAGGAAATGTGAGGTCCAAGCAGGCTCCCAGGCATCAGATGAGACCAGACACTGGGTTGTTGTTTTTTAAACAAAACAATATTTTATTGACACATCCTGAATGATCTGTATAAATATAAAGTGCTAAATTTCCAATCCCTGCCCACAGGGCTAGGAGGAAGCGGGGGAGGGAGTGTTAAATGTCAGCTGAGCACAAATAACTTTCCAGCGCCAGCACAGGCGTGAAAGGCTCACAGACTGACACACACAGCACGACACACCCATCACTTCCCAAGTCCCCAGCTTCCCCAGGAACATAGGGCTTGGGCTCCAGGCCCTGGGCGGACCAACCCACGGACAGGGCTCCTGGTTGTCACAGCTTGTTCCTTGGAGCTCTTAGGCTGCCAAGGGCTTCAACATGATGGTGGACCAGGGAGAGTCCACGGTATAGAGTCCAGTTGATTTCCGCCAGAGGATGGGATGGGAAAGAGCAGACACACCCTCGGTTCCCGACCCCGAATGAGGGCCAGCCTCAGTCCCCCGGCAGAAGAGCACCAGGTCAGAAAGGCCAGCATGCCGGCATTGCTAGAGCCCCCCACGGGGCTTCTCAAACTGTGAGGAGGTAGCAGCCCTCCCAGAGGTGAGGGGACTGTGCCGGCCCAGAGAGGAGCCCACCCGTCCAGTCAGCTCCTGCCAGCACAGTTAGGGGGGCAGGCAGAGGGGCACCACCTCAGTGACACAGCACCTGGGTCTCAAACTGCAGCAGCTGCCCCATGAAACTGAAGTTGGGGGAGATGATCCCCCGACGCTGCTTAACGAAGTCAAAGGCCTCGTCCAGCCGCACACGGCGACTCTGCATGAGGTAGGCCAGGCAGATGGTGGCGGAGCGCGAGATGCCGGCCTGGCAGTGCACCAGCACCCGGCCCCCGCTGTTTTTCACCCAGTCTGCAAGGGAGACGGGGGAGTGGTGTCAGACGGCGTGTGCACAGCCCAGGAGACAGGTGCCCCCAGCCCTCTCCTCTGGAGCCCCTCGGGACCTCTGGGCAGAGGCGCCCCCTTACCAATGAAGCCTATGGCCTCCTGGAACCAGGCGCTGATCTCCACCATCTGGTTGTCCTCCACAGGGATACTCTTGTAGCGGAAAAGGCCCTCAAAGTGGTTGGGGCAGCTGGCGGACACGTTGAGGACGGCGGTGATGCCACACGCCTGCAGCCCCTGCAGGTCTGACGAATGACTGCAGCTGCCCAGGAACAGGTAGGGCAAGATCTCCACAGGGCCACCCTGGAGGGGGCAGACGGACGGTGAGGCCTTCGCAGCCCAGCCCCGGAGGGCTGGAGCAGCAGCGGGTGGAGACCCCATGGGCTGGCTGAGACAAGAGGAGTCCTCAGCCAGTCCTCCTGACCTGAGACAGGACTCAGGAATGTGCGGGGGACACACCGGGACACACGTGCCCCTCACACTCCCAACATACACATGCAAACGTACACAGACCCACACAGGCACGTGCGAGCAGCCGTGGCCCCACCGCCCCCAACACACACACGTATACAGGTGTGTACATGGGCAAACTGCTCGCATCCCCAAATGGCAGGCTCTTTCTCTAGAGGCGCCCAGTCTGCGGTGGGGAGGGAGGAAGGGTCCGGGGCGGGGGGCAGTACTCACCTGGTCGTAGATGGGCGCCCTCGGGTCGGAGCAGCTGGTTTTGCTCCCTGCCGGCGGCGGCAGCGCAGGGGCGGGGGCCTCAGAGCACAGATCGGGACAGCAGCCCTGGAAGCCGTCGAAGCCTCCTGCAAGGAGGGTAAGGGCACGGTCAGCAGGGAAAGCCGGGCTGGAGGCGGGTGGGGCGGGCCAAGGGCGGCCGGCGGCTCACCTCGCAGGAAGAACACGGCGGTGGGCCCCGCGCGGGTCTCGTGCAGCAGCGCGGCCAGCAGCACGTGGGCCGGGCCGTCGGGCCGCAGCTCCGCCACCGAGGCACTGCCCTCGTCCAGCACCACGGCCCGCGCCAGCTCCCCGCGGCCCAGGCGCGTCCTCAGCGCGCGGTCGGGTAACAGACAGGCGAGAACCGCCGCAGGGGGGCCCCGCGCACGGCGCCGGAGCAGCGCGTTCCAAGGCACCGGGCGCGCGGCGCGCACGTGGCGGCGGCAGAAGGCCAGGAAGGGCCGGCAGTCCAGCAGCAGCGTGCGTTCCGCCTCCCGCGGCTCCCGCAGCAGCGCGCCCAGCGCCGCGCACTCCAGCTCGCGCGCCGCCTCCAGCCCCATGGCCGCCGGTGCCTCTTCTTCCTTCCGCTCGTTACCGCGTCCCGGGCTCTCGTGGCGGTGGCGCTGCCGGAGCGGTCGACTCCTGGCGCCCTCCGCTGCGGTCCGGGTTAAATACCCCTGGGCCGGCCTCCGGGACACCATACAAGGGCAGAGCAGGAAGGCGCTGGCGCCCGCCCCCGCCCCTCACGTGGGGCGCAGGCTGGGCTGACCCGGGGACTCCGGAGGCGGGGGGAGGTTGGCGGGGAAGGCAGGGCGCGGGGATGAACACACGGAGAGGAGGCGGGGACCAGCGACTACGGGAAGGGAAGGTGTTATCCGGAGTCGGAGGGACCAGCACCCCTCCCTTCTTTGCGCCCACCCTTTGACCTGTCCCAAGCGACTCAGTCCTGGGGAACCCAGCTTCACAGATGCAAGTCCACCCCTTAGGGCCAGCGATGTCCTTTGGAGTACCCCACCCGCCAACCCCACGCTTCCTCTGTCTTTTCCCTTTCCCTCCCAGAATTTTCCTCTTAGAAATTTGTCACCGCAAACATTGACAAATGCCTGCTGCCACGGGTGAGTTCTACACTGGATGATGGGGAGGTCCCTGCTGAGATGTCCTGTTGCTCATATATTTGGAGACCTTGGGCCAGAGGGACTTTCTCTCTCCCCCTCCCCACCCCCCATTGCCTGGATGAGACCAGCACTCAGCGTCTTGCAGTAGGTTGGTGGCCAAGCTAGGCCCGAACACAGTCCCCGGGACCCAGGCCCCTGGGCTTGGGCCGAAGGAAATGAGGGGGTCCTGGGGCCTTTCGTGGGGAAAGTAGGGGTCTGAGACCGGCTTCCAGTTAAGAGTGGGGCAAAGCTTCTTCCTCCTGGGCGCAGGGAAAGCCCCCAGGCCCCGGAGAGAAGCACTTCCCGCTGTCACAAGCCCGCCCTGGAGGGAAGTCCGCTGACGCTCCTAGCCCTCCCCAGGCCTGCGGGGATTTCAGGACCTTGGCAAGGGGAAGAGGGAGAAGCAGAACAGAACTGGCCTCCCCCATCCTAGGCCTCCCTGTCCAGCCCCCCTGGGCAGCAAAGTCCAGGGCTAGCACTGCACCCGGAGGACTGGGGGCCTGGGTGTCCCCTCCATCCTGCCCTCCCCCAGCCCTGCTGCCGGATGTGGTGAGGCCCAGGTGTGCGTGGGGTGTCTGAGCCACAAGAATTGTTGGCAGTGAACTCCCAAACTCAAGCAGAGAAGTTCAGGTGGGTGGAGACAGTGTTACTGAACTGGAGCTGCCCTCGCCCTGCCCCCAGCTGCGTGGGATTTCAGAACCCACCCTCCAAGCCCCCAGTCTCCTGAGGCCCTCCTCCACCTCCTCTGAAAGACCCTTCCAGTTCTCCGGCAGACCCCTGTGTCCACGCCATCTTAAAGAGTGACAGCTGGGACCTGCGTGGAGCCCCCAGCCCTTCTGGACTCGTCTGCTCTGAGCTCCTCACAGCAGTGTGCTGTGTGCCTGGCTGTGTGCACGGGAGCGTGGTACCTGTGCAGTTCCACTACGTGTGAGAAGGACCTGGAGCTTGTGTGTGCTGGGGTCAGAGCAGATGCAGAGGAGAAAACCCCAAGGACTCCAAAGGTCCCTGGGGCCACGTCACCGTCTCAGTGTCTCCATCTGTAAGGGGGAGCACATCATGGCGCAGCGGCCCTTCCACACTGGTTCCAAGGCTCTAAGGCTACCCCACTGTCTGCGCAATTGGCTGAGGCCCTGCCCTCCCTGGCAAGCCAGTCTGGAGGCTGAGGTGGCAAAGTCCACAACAGAGCCGGGGAGTCTGGGCCACAGATCCCAGAGGCTGATAGGAGCCCTTATCATTGGCATCGGCCTCCAAATGACTTAATGCTGATTCCAGGGGCAAATTACAGAGCGTGCAGGACAATCAGGTCCAGTCTTGCTTCTGGGCTGGGAGCCACAGCCTTCCAGCTCCGTGAGAGGACCCCAGCCAGGTGGGATCCCTGATTCAGAAGTGAACTCAGCTCAGCCGTGTAAGGGGCTCCAGACCCCAACTCCTATGCTGAGCTGGGCCTCTTCCCCTCCTGGAGAACCCGGTATACCTTGCCGGGGAGTTCCACGTGTGGGGAGAGCATTGCTGAAGGTTTGCTCTGATAGCGCAGTCCCTGGGACCTGGCACTCCTGGCCACGACCAGTGGTCTCTTTTTCTTTTTAAGTGACAGGATCTTGTTATGTTGCCTACACTGGCCTCAAACTCCTGAGCTCAAATGATCCTCCTGCCTCAGCCTCCAGAGTAGCTGGGACTATAGGCACCTGCCACCACCCAGCTCAGGACTGGTGATGGCTGCCTAACGTGGCTGCACCTGTGTCACCCCCTTGAGGCCATTTGCCTTGGGGCTGTCCCCTTTTCAGCTCTGGAACGTGGACTCACGGAGGCCCAGCTTAGCCACGAAGGAGGGCCTTCCTTTACCTTCTTTCCCTACTCCCAAACTGGGGAAAACCCCACCCCCAATTACTGGGTGAAAGCCCAGGGCTGGGGTAAGAAGAGGGGGAGAGACTCACAAACCCATGTCCCTCTCCCGCTTTTGCTCTGACAAAAGCCCCCCAAGCCTTGGGTGCTGCCGCTGGCGATCATGTGCAGGACGCCTGCTCCTCTCCACCACCCCCTCAGAGTCTCCCCAACCACCGTTCGCCAGAGCCCAGCCTTGGGAGCCACAGCAGAGAGGAGGCAGGGCATTGGGTGTAAGGGTGAGGACGCGGTGAGGAGGGGTCTCTGCTAGGCTGGATGCCCCGCGGCCTGAAGGCTCTGGAAGCAGGACCCGGTCCTCGCCACCGGATGGAAAGGGGCTGACCCAGGTTGGGAGTCCCTGCTCAGAGCTCTCTCTGTTTTTGTTTTTCTCGGCCTGGCTCTTACAGAGCAGACACTGTCAAGTAAGTTTGGACTCAGCACTTTTTTAAAAATTGAAAACCTGTGAGACTCACCAGGAACAAATGATGATTCTGCGTGTTATTCTTTTTATAACCATCTATTTTGACGGCTGTTTAAGCGTCACTGGCTCCTGCCTTTGGGATTCCAGGTCTTTCCTGGCCCCAGCAGCACATCCACCCACCTCCCCGCACGGCAAGTCTCCCTTCCACAGCTGCCTCACTGAGCATCACACTGATGCTGCAGAGCCTTCCTTCCTCCTCCCAGCCCCCACCCCCAAGCAGATGCCCCACACCGGGCGGGAGGTGAGTGGCTTGGCTACAGTGCTTGGGCCAGTTTAGGGATGAAGGTGAGAGTGAGGGGCCACCCCAAGCTCCGCCTGAGGGGTGAGTCAGGGATGACGTCAGGTTTCCTGTGCCAGGCCTCTGACGAACACGCCGATGCGGCGGCCACCCCCACAGGCTCCTGCCAGGTGCGGATTCATACCCCACGCGCCAGGCTCCAGGAACAGCCCCTGTGTGAGGAAGGCGTGTCCAGCACAGTGCAGGGTGGGGGCGGGGGGTTCACCTGGGGCACCCAGCCCTTAGCAAGTCCTCCTCCTGGCCAAGATGAGCAGGAAGCCTGCAGCCGAAAGGACTGATGTCTGTTCCCCACTCTGTCATGCGTCATGTCGCATGCGTGTGTGTGAGCAGGACCACCCGGGAGCAGGGCTGCCGGGGAAGCTCTCCTGGACACGCGGAGGCCTCCTCAGGGGACCCGTCGCTCAGGCTAAATGCATGGGGGCCCGCGACACGCCCCAGCCCTGGCCTTGCCTCTCACCTGGGTGCCACCCTGAGCTTCAGGTACCCTGGCGTGCAGCCCCCAGCAGGCGTTCGGGTACTCAGACACTTCGAGGCTGCATCCAGACCAGCACTGAGGAGTCCCCAGCCATGTGCGGAGGACATTCTGCCTTTTTCAAGCCAATCCGTCCTTCTGAGTACATCAAGAAGAAAGTCTCCACGTGGGGCTGGCATGGCTCTAACCCCTAATACCTGCCTTTCCTCATTTTAACCAAGAGGCTTAGTGCTCCTTTCTGCATTTATCACTGACTCAATCCTGCACTCAGAAATACATTTCAAGAACCTATTATGGGCCAGGCTTGGTGGCTCAAGCCTGTAATCCTGGCATTTTGAGAGGCCAAGATGGGCGGATCACGAGGTCAGGAGATCCAGACCATCCTGGCTAACCCGGTGAAACCCCGTCTCTACTAAAAAATACAAAAAACTAGCCGAGAGAGGTGGCGGCGCCTGTAGTCCCAGCTACTCTGGAGGCTGAGGCAGGAGAATGGCGTGAACCCGGGAGGCGGAGCTTGCAGTGAGCTGAGATCCGGCCACTGCACTCCAGCCTGGGCGACAGAGCGAGACTCCGTCTCAAAAAAAAAAAGAACCTATTATGTACCAGGTACTGTTCTACGTGCTGGGGATATAGCAGTAAATCCCAAAGCACTGCCCTCAAGGCACTGACCTCGTTGCTTCAACAATATATACTTTTGTGATTTTGTTGTGTTCATGATAAATGATACTAATTATCCACCTAGAGTAATGACATCTTTTCCTTTTAAAGTAAATTTTAGGTTTGTAAAAACTGAGTTCACTTAAGGAAAACTGTTGGGAACAGATGGTACCCAAACATCTTAAAAAGTTAGATGCACGGCCGGGCGTGGTGGCTCACGCCTATAATCCCTGCACTTTGGGAGGCCGAGGCGGGCGGATCACCTGAGGTCAGGAGTTCAAGACCAGCCTGGCCAACATGATGAAACCCCGTCTCTACTGAAAATACAGAGAATTAGTCAGGCATGGTGGCGCATGCCTGTAATCCCAGCTACTCAGGAGACCGAGGCAGGAGAATCACTTGAACCCGGGAGGTGGAGGCTGCAGTGAGCCGAGATCACGCCACTGCATTCCAGCCTGGGCAACAGAGCAAATCTCCGTCTCAAAAAAAAAAAAAAAGAGGCCGGGGCCGGTGGCTCAAGCCTGTAATCCCAGCACTTTGGGAGGCCGAGACGGGTGGATCACGAGGTCAGGAGATCGAGACCATCCTGGCTAACACGGTGAAACCCCGTCTCTACTAAAAAATACAAAAAACTAGTCGGGCGTGGTGGCGGGCGCCTGTAGTCCCAGCTACTCTGGAGGCTGAGGCAGGAGAATGGCGTAAACCCGGGAGGCGGAGCTTGCAGTGAGCTGAGATCCGGCCACTGCACTCCAGCCTGGGCGACAGAGCGAGACTCTGTCTCAAAAAAAAAAAAAAAAAAGAGAGGAGGCCACAGCTTGAGGAAGGGACTCTGGGAGAACTCATTGCCAAGGCCCCACTTGCCTGTGGGCCTGTCCAGCAAAGCAACTGTGTGTGTGTGTGTTCCCAGATGGACCTGGGTCTAGGGGTGGAAGGAACCCCTCTCTGGGCTTTTCCCTGGGCACCCACCCCTGGCACACCTGTAGCGCCCAACCCATGGGGTTCCCGGTAGTGAAACTGATTCCCGCCCCGCTAGCCAGAGGCGCTGTGGCTTAGGCCCGGGTTATCCAAGGAGGGAAGAGGAGGTTGTGGCCGTTGGTAAGAGTTGGGCAAGAAATGAAGGAGTCTCAAAATGTGACCGCACTTGAGAGAGGGGACTGAGAAGCAGGACTAGCTGGATTTCCTAGGCCGACTAAGAATCCCTAAGCCTAGCTGGGAAGGTGACAACAGCTTCCACCTTTAAACACGGGGCTTGCAACTTAGCTCACACCCGGCCGATCAGATAGTCAAGAGCGCTCACTAAAATGCTGATTAGGCAAAAACAGGAGGTAAAGACGTAGCCAATCATCCGATGCCTGAGAGCACAGCGGGAGGGACAATGATCGGGATATAAACCCAGGCATTCCAGCCGGCAGCGGCTCCCCTCTTTGGGTCCCCTCCCTTCGTATGGGAGCTCTGTTTTCACTCTATTAAATCTTGCAACTGCAAAAAAAAAAAAGAAAGTGACCTCACTGTGGGCACAGGGCAAGTGGCTCTGTGACAAGAGGCCTCCTGGGACTCCCCTGTGACCACAGCTGGGTGCACTGTTGGAGGGGGACTGACAAAGGGACCTCCTTCCCACCTCACCAGCACTGCTGACACCTTAACTACCATCGAAGACCAGGCCAAGCGCTCTGCCACCCCCCAAAACCAGCAATCCCAGCACAGCAGCAGCAGCAGCGGCGGGGGCAGCTCTGGGCATCAGTTAGCTGTGGGGGCTCTGAGGCCACTTGCCTTGGTCAGACACAAGCGGGCTGCTTCCCTACGGTGTGGTATTGGTCTCGTCCTTCATTAAAAAGAGCGATCACTGGCACTGTGTTTGGTGCCTTGGGAGCGTCACTGCGTCTAGCCTCACACCCTGGAGAGCTGCCTCATTACCCTGCTCTGCAAACAGGGAAACCAAGGCCCAAAGGTGTTAGGGGGCAGAACCAAGGCCACACAGTCCCTATGCAAATGAAGAACTGGGATTGGAACCTGGGCTTAACCACTAGGCTGCCCTGCCCCTGGCCAGGGTCCATGTGGGTCCGCCTATGTGGTGTCCCCAGCACACACCCTCCCGCCTGGGTCTCTTGCTTCATGGGACAACCACAACAACTGACACCATTGTGTGCTTGCCACGTGCCCTGACTTATCCCAAGGGCTTAACAGAAATTATCTCATTTAAACCTCAAAGAGCCCCACAGGTGGGAGGGATCGGCACTCCAAATACAAATGGGGGAGCCACGGCTCAGAGAGGCTGAGGAGTTTGCCCGAGCTCTCAGAGCCAAGGCTGAAATTCACAATTTTGTGTCACCTCCTGACTGTCTCCAGAATCCAGGTCCCCATCCTCCAGGCCCCTCCCATCTGCCTCCCACTCTTGCCCACAGCCCTCCTTTCTCTCAGCTGCCATCCTGGAGGACCTTCAGGGCATTAGTGCCACCTCCCCAGCTCTGCTGCAAACCCCTTGAGGATGCACAGTACCCAGGGCACTGCCCCTCTGAGTCCACTGGGAAGCTCAGTGCCCAGCCCTGAGTGGGCCTTGATGCATCTCTGCAGGCATGAGGACTTGCCCCCGTGCCCCCAGGTAGCCCTCGACAGGAAGCTGACACAGGAAGCTGAAATCCACAATGTGGGATGAAGTCATTGTCAGGCTAGGCCTTCATCCCTCACCGTGCCTCAAGCTCCAGGGAAAAAGAGAGGTCCTCAGGTGCCCAGAGCGGACACCCCAGGCATGTCAGTCAAAGAGCCCACCATGAGGCTGGGCATGGCAGCTCATGCCTGTAATCCTAGCACTTTGGGAAGCCCAGACGGGCAGATCACTTGAGGCCAGGAGTTCCAGACCCACCTGGCCAATATGGTGAAACCCCGTCTCTACTAAAAACACAAAAATTAGGCTGAAGTGGTGGCACATGCCCGTAGTCTCAGCTACTCAGGAGGCCGAAGCACGAGAATCACTTGAGCCTGGGAAGCAGGGGTTGCAGTGAGCTGAGACTGCACGACTACACTCCAGCCTGGGCAACAGAGTGAGACTCTGAGACTCTGTCCACTGTGACAACCCACCGAATGTCTTAGGTTCAAGGACAAGCTCTACCACACACAGCTCTGTGGCTCTGGGCACACCGTGAGCTTCAGTCTTCCTGCAGGTCCCGGCACTCATTCACTCACCAAGTGTTACCGAGTGCCAGGCTGGCTGCTTTCAGGGTGCTAGGGATGCAGCCGTGAACGAGACACACAAGGTTCCTGCCCTCTGGGGCTGGCCTTCCAATGCAAGGCCAGAGATGGGTGGAGTAAGGAAACGAATGAGACCACAGCGGACACTGGGAGATGTTATCAATGACGCTGCAGAGGGGCGTGAGACGGAGCAGGGGCGAGGGCAGCAGGGAGGGTTCTCGGAGGAGACGGCCTTCCACGGCAACTTCAGGAATGACAAGGAGCCTGCCGGGGCTGGGGCAGGGAAGATCGGCAGGAGGCAGAAGTTCTGGCAGGGACAGAGGCCTTGCAGCAGGAGCTCTGGTGGAGCCCGGGGCCCTGGTCAGGGTCTGATTCCATTAAAAGGACAATGAG